CAGCCACCCCCCTTACCCTTATCTAACTCTAACTTTAACCTAACCTCCCCAGGTAGTGTTAAAGTGTTTAATCCATCGGGTGAAAAGTTGGGTTGCCTAATTTTAGTCGAGAAGTCAAGTCTGTCAGAAACTGTTTATTACATTGTGGTGTGAGGGGCAGCACGAGACGCCACAAGCTTTCATGAAGGTCATGTATTCACACAGGTGAGGCCCGGTGCTGGAAGCTGTTGTATCGAAGGTCAGAGACAACACAACACTCACCATCCTCTACACTGTAACACACTTTGAGTAACACCTGATGAACCAATTGTCCAGGTAGTCCTTGGTTAGACCTCGGTGTTGTTCCGATTACCAGGTACTGGATAATATATCTTGTCAAGGTTTCTTCACCTATTGGGTCCAGGTGTCTCTGCACAGTGAAAGAATCTCTGGAAAGTTCACAGTCCATAAGATGTATTATTACTAGGTTGAATTTGAATAATTAATTAAGGTGAGCTGGAAGGATAACTACTGACTTAGTTCATAAGGAATCACTTAAGCAATGAGTCATCTTGAGACCAAATTCTATTGATTAAAATTTCCATAAATATTATAGTTATTAAGAATTAATTTTAAAATTAATTTGTTTTATCGTAGTTTATATATTGATTATAATTAAGAGGAATAAGTTCTCTGACGTGCTCTACCATGAAACAAAAATTACAATATTTTCAGACTAAAAGCTCTTTGTGCTCCGACCTTCAGTATAGTATTGTAAACACTTCATTGACAGTGGTGGGTGTCATTACATCAAAACACTATCACTACGTTACATAGATAATCTGTTTGTCTGTCTGTCTATGTCTGGTTTATATATAAGAGAAAGAGGGAGAGTAGTGAAAATCTTATGAGTAAGAAAATAGTAGTTCTTTTCGGTTTTTATAATAATGTCGACTTTCCTCCCTCGCTGATAAAGTGCTTGTCAATATTGAGGTCGCTGTGCCAGGAGCTAACCCACTGGTGCCATAACTTGTGTCACCACCACCAGTTGTGATGCGGCAGTAGAGGGAAGAGTCTGTGTGTTGTGAAAGTGTGTTATTAATCTAAGATGACCTTCCTCACTTGGCCCTCGTCCCAATAAGTCCCAACTTGGACTCCCTGACCTGTGCATTCAAGGGCGTTAAGTCCTGAAGGACCTGGGTACGTCGGCAAGTTACATATAGTGACGGGATTAGTGTGTGGGAGGAGGGACTAATCCTCTCGGAGGTATAACTCTGATGCTTAGAGGAGGATTAACACGGGGAAAACATTACAAACAAAGGAACGATGGACTATTTCAGTAAACTGTTGACCTTCTCGGGTGATTATTCACAAATTACTCCTAACCTGCCTGGTGAGGTTCGTCATTAGTAGTCACAGAGACGAGGAACCACAACCACTTTTACAACTTTCTGACTCACCAATAGATTTTTCCATTAATAAGAGTTGTTAATAGTATGTCACTTACTTTGAGCATCGATACAAAAGTCCCTGTGACATAATCTCAATATAGTTCCTTCATGTCATAAGTAGAAACAGGTGTACAGGATTCTGATCATCGTATATTTAGATGACACAAATTAAACACGTAAACACCGCCATACAGAAAAAAAAAATTATCTGATATGTTTAGAGAATCTTTTAAAGTGTAAATAATCAATCATTCTGGTGTGGCTGGACTACACCTAGGTACTCTCTTCTTAAGTTTTCCTTCTCTACGTTTCAGGTTTTTTCTCCACACTATTATCACTGGTTTACTTCCGCCACTCGCCATAAAATCTTAGCGTTTATAGTTTTATCATCACACTACCCCCCCACCCCCGACCGACGCTGTAATGGCTGCACCAGACAAGCTTACAAGTTGTTGCAAAAATAGAATTTCAACAAAACTTTGCTGCAGCTTCAAGTCCTCTGAGATACCAATTTAATTACCTCCAGTCGATTTTCATCTAACTTCTTCCGAATAATTTCCCAGGGCATGGCGCTTCTTTTATTATTTTTATATATGTTTTATTACAACTGGGTGGATGTTCGACAGGTGGTGAGGCAGATGGTGCAGGTGGTGGTGATAACGCGGCCTAGGGTGTGCTTGCGAAACTGGTGCCAAGTATGACGGCACCAGCTGACGGCTACAACCCATGCCATGACTCCACACCAAGACGCCCACACCATGACCTGACTTTGATCTCATGACCTGCCATTTTCCCCATGACCTGCTGCCACCTGCTTGACCATGATCCCAAGACTCTGTGCCATCTGCACCCTGCCTTGACCTGCTGCCATGACCTGACCTTGACTGTCCTGCTGATCTGCTGCCATTCTGCTGACCATGACCTGCCCAGACTTCATGACCCACGACTTCATGACCATGACTTGCTGCACCAAGACTGCTGCCACCTGCTTGATCTGCTGCCACGTGTTGACTTGCCACTTGACGACTTGCTATGCACGACCATACTTGCCATAATATGACTTGCTGACTAAAAATCTAAGACTTTGCTACTTATGACTTATCTGCATGTAATGTACTATGACTTCATCTGCTTGGTGATTATGACGTTTTGCAACCATGACCCCATGACCCTGCAACCCACTGACTCAAGGCCACCCCACTGACCTGCCCACCCTGCTGACCTGCCAACCCTGCCAGTTTTTCCGCCCTGACCCTGCCAGCCCAAGATCCATGCCCTGATTCTGACCCACCCTGCTGATCTGCTGTCTGCTGCTGTGCCAAGCCACCCTGTGCTGCTGTTTTTTTGACCTGATCTGCCATGCCAATTTTTGATCTGCCAACCCATGACTTATTCACCCATGACCTGCACCCTGCTGACTTACCAAGATCTGCCAATGTGCCACCCATGACCTGCCATGACATGCCACTATGACTTGCCATGACTACTTATGCACCGTACTATGACGCTGCTATGACGGTGCTACGGTGACGGTGACGTACGACGACGGTGCTTTTAAGTGATTTGTATGTATATTTATGGTGATGTATGATGGATTATTTGGTGTATGGTGATTTCATGTATGGTGATTTGGTATGATTGATGGTGTATAGTGATGGTCAAGATGCATGGTTTATGTATTTTATGATTAATCGTATGATGACGGCTATGATTGGTAAGTGTCAAGTATGATTTTTGTTATGGTGAAGTATTTATGGTGATGGTGGTGTATGGTGATGATGATGACGTATGGTGGTGATGTATGATGATGGTGGTGTATGGTGATGGTGATGAATGGTGTATCAGTGAAACCATGCGTCAATAAGTCTTCTATTTCCACCAATAACTTCAAATTTCCTTTCTATTCTTTCATTGTTTTAGTTAATAATTTCTCAGGTGTCAAACTCTTGTTAATCAAATGTTGTTTATTTCAGAAAGTTCACCTGTCTGCTCTGTCTTTCTCAGGTGAGGGCAGATAAGAGCGTTACCTGCTGAGGGATGCAGGGATAATAATACTCAACTGAGTGTATGTGTGTGTAAAGGTTTATTGGGGGGGAGGAGGGGAGAGGTATGATCAGCGGTGTGTGTGTGTTGTGGGTGGTGGACCTCCTGCCTTGGGCTCTATAGGGGGGCGGTCCTGCCACCCACTACCACCCACTACTATCGCTGCTACTACTACCACCACTACCATCACTACCACCACCATTACTACTACTACTACTACTACTACCTCCACCACTACCACTACTACCACCACTACTACCACCTGTGAAGCAGTAACATGACAGTTTGTATTGGTCCTGTAGGTAACTTATCTTAACACAAGAGGAATTCTACTGTGAACCTATACAATAAACATTCACTTCTCTAAACTCTTAATATCTATAAACCATGGTGGGTGGGTGGCCCATGTTGGTGGATAACCCCGAACCCTAGACTCCGGGGAGGGGAAGGGAGGGGAGGGGGGGGGGCAACACCTTCTCAACATAATATATTTCCCCGACCACCAGAGGATCAATGAAATATAACTCATCTATATCCTGTACCATAGACCACAACACCAGGTACACTTATATCCTGTACCATAGACCACAACACCAGGTACATTTATATCCTGTACCATAGATCACAACACCAGGTACATTTATATCCTGTACCATAGACCACAACACCAGGTACATTTATATCCTGTACCATAGATCACAACACCAGGTACATTTATATACTGTACCATAGACCACAACACCAGGTACATTTATATCCTGTACCATAGATCACAACACCAGGTACACTTATATACTGTACCATAGCTCACAACATCATCACTTGTAAACATCAGCAGCAACCCGTAGACTGTTTCAAATAATGATCTAAGTTATTATATGCATTATCTATGTCTTAATGGCCAGCAGAAACATAAATAAGAGACTACAAGTTGTGGCCAGGTGGAAACAACACAACTTTAACAGTGACTAAAATTCAGATGATGTCCTAACAGAGGCAAGTTGATCTACACAAGACACAAGAGACTAACAACCTTCTACCTGTTTTTATTACGAATTAATTATTAACTTCTACACAATGTCTATATTTTATTCATATCAATATAACATGGAAATATTATCACTTGTTTAACCTGAAACACCTGTCAACACCTTATACCTGTGTTTATAGAAGGTGTGTTGGTTCCTCTGAATAATTTATTTACCATAACAGCAATGGTTCTAATTACACTATATATTATTAACTCTAGACAAAAAATTAGTTATTCAGTCAAGAAGAGTTATATATATATATATATATATATATATATATATATATATATATATATATATATATATATATATATATATATATATATATATATATATATATATATATATATATATATATACCACAAGAAAACACGGAACTTCGTGTTTCTTCTTTCCTTTATTATATCACACTTACCTACAGTGATTTACTATATATATATATATATATATATATATATATATATATATATATATATATATATATATATATATATATATATATATATATATATATATATATATATATAAGTGATCAGGTTACGATGATAATATTTCCTGTTACTTCACAAACTAGTGTGTAGAACTTTGTGATGTGACTCCATGTGGCTCCCTGTGTAGTCCTCTGAGCTGTTTTGACTCACTACGTACAAGAGAGGAGTCTAACTTAGCCTTCTACAGCACGACGGTGAGTGGTCGAGTGTCCTGTAGGCTACATGACCACGACTGCAACACACATATGGCACTGGCATTCAGTAACACACTGGGTCCTCATGTGTGGCACTGACACCACAACACTACACAAGAAATCAGTTTAATACATTGTGAAAACGGATCACCTGAAAGTTAGGCCAGGTTAGGTTAGGTTAGTGTTACGGTGTTTAACAATCAGATGGAGTATGCTGGGGTGTGTGATCTTCAGGTGATCCAGGCAGGTAGTAAACTATCTTACTGATTTATGGTGTTTGTTATTAGTGACGTCAGAGTTACTCATGGGTTCCGTTATAACACAGACCTGAGTCAGTGGTACTTAATGGGTTTGCTCTCACCATCACACTGTCTCACACTCGGGAATGTGAGAGAGTGTGTTGCCTCGACTCTCACTGTCTCTTTGTCACGACAGTTGAAAAACCTTCATTTAACAAAGTCTCTTGCTCTTACACTCCAAATTTTCACGTTTTTCATTATACTTCATCTCCATCAAGGATTTTCCTTTCTTAAGTAAATATTTAAGATTCAGACGCTGAGTCAGTATACTAACGCTCCTCAAACACTCTGTACAGGTGTGAGGAACACCTGCACCAGATGCTCAAACATGTGTTCTATTGTTTCTATTGATCTAACACTATTGCTCAGACATGTGTGATGCAGGTGTTGTTAACTTCTATTGGTGGAGCATCCGCGGGCACAGCCTTCCAGCATGGAGGGAGTCGCGGTGCACGGATGGCCAGCCACTGTACACAACACGACTTGAAGAGCTCACTGAAAGTGTCTCTGAACTGTTTGCTCATGGCGCAGTACAACAGGAAGTTTATGGCGCTGTTAAAGAGCACCAACATGTCCATGATCTCCCCGAGCTTCTGGTAGCAAGGGAAGAACCCAGAGTCCGGGATGACAGTCAGAAAGCCAAGGATGCCCTGTGGTACCTCAGAGGCGAGAAACAACACAAGAATAGCCAGTAGCATTATTGTGACCCTGTCAGCTTGTCGCTCGGCGTCAGCGGCGCGGCCTGATGAATTCCTTTTCATGAGCTGGGCACGTCGCCGGCCTGCCCGTAATAGTTCCTGGATGAGAGCAAAAGAGAGGCCGGTAAGAGCGCTACACGGCAACAACTTGAGCATGACAGCATAGATCCAGAAATTAATGCTCTTAAGGAACCCACCGTGAGCCAGCGCTAAGTGACTGAAGCCGACAATATATAGTGTTTGTCCCTCGTGTTCCGCCTGGCTGATTGTAAAGTTGAGGTAACTGGGGATGTTGCAGATGACGGAGCAGAAGAAGGCGGCCACGATCACTGTGTGTGTACGCTGCATGGAGCACCACGTAGTGTTGTTCTGGGGGAAGGCGATGGCGATGTAGCGCCAGACGGCCAGCGTGACGGTGAGCCAGATGGAGATGGTGTGGAATACGTGAGTGAAGTGAGCGTGGAAGAGGACGAAGACGGCCCAGCCCCAAGAGTACTGTGAGGCCAGCGAGCGGCCCTGCCACACGTACTGGTGCATGGTGTAGGGGATGTACTCCACCATCACCAGCAGGTCCGTCACTGCCAGACCTGTCAAGATGGCGTTGGTGGGCGACACCATCGACCTCCTGGTGAGCACCACCATGTTGATCACGTTAGCCACGGAGCCGAAGACGCACACCACCAGTGACATACAGCCGTGCACTGCCTGGTAACTGTGCCGGAAGTCATCCCACTCCTCCGTGCTGCAGTACTCGTCCTGGCCAGAGGGAAAACCGGGTTAGTTGTCTTACTAGCGAGGTAAACAGTGACGTTGGGTTAGATCAGGATGTGTTTGGTTAGGTTAAGTTAGGTTAGATTAGGTTAAGTCAAGTAAGGTTAGCTTTAGGACGATTAACCATAAAATAATATAACCCGGGTGTCTAATTTTCAGGTGATCTAATTGTTTTTGTTTTTAGTTTAAACGACAAGGGAGGAACCTAAACCACTGGAACACACACACACACACACACACACACACACACACACACACACACACACACACACACACACACACACACACACACACACACACACACACACACACACACACTACATTAAGTCGCTTACACTCCATTACAACCATAATCTCAAGAAGCCAAGTGCATTACGCCCAACTGGTCTCCTCAGCCAAATTCCAATACCAATATAACATTCCCATCCCGAGGAAGTAATTACCTCTATCCTATCTTATCTAAGGTCGCCATAAGATGTGCTTTACTTGGCGCCTCTAAGATTTGTTGAGGATCACCTGAAGATTAGTTTACCTGGCGAATTTTCACCTTATACCACATTAACGCTAACCTAACCATTTTACACCACGTCTATGGGGTATATTGTGTTTCAGTCATTTTACACCGTCTATATATCATCATTTACACCGTCTATATATCACCATTTATACCGTCTATATATCACCACTTACACCGTCTATATATCACCATTTACACCGTCTATATATCACCATTTACACCGTCTATATATCACCATTTACACCGTCTATATATCACCACTTACACCGTCTATATATCACCATTTACACCGTCTATATATCACCATTTGTACCGTCTATATATCATCATTTATACCGTCTATATATCACCATTTACACCGTCTATATATCACCATTTACACCGTCTATATATCACCATTTACACCGTCTATATATCACCACTTACACCGTCTATATATCACCATTTACACCGTCTATATATCACCATTTATACCGTCTATATATCACCATTTACACCGTCTATATATCACCACTTACACCGTCTATATATCACCATTTACACCGTCTATATATCACCACTTACACCGTCTATATATCACCATTTACACCGTCTATAAATCACCACTTACACCGTCTATATATCACCATTTACACCGTCTATATATCACCACTTACACCGTCTATATATCACCATTTACACCGTCTATATATCACCATTTATACCGTCTATATATCACCATTTATACCGTCTATATATCACCATTTATACCGTCTATATATCACCATTTTACTCACAGCAGTTGACGAGTTGAAGGAGTCTTGTGTGGTGGTGTTGGCGGTGACATTGTGGTAGTCCCAATCGTAGTCCAAGTCGGCGGTGGCGGTAAGGTTAGCGAGTAGAGGGATGATGATGGTCAGTGGTCCCGCTGTGTGAGGAGGTGCGCCAGCTGCCTCCATCACCTTCTCCATCCTGGGGACAACTGACTCGCTAAAGTTAACACTAAACATATATTCAGGATTTGAACACTACACATCGTATATTCCTGTGTATTATTTTCATCTCTTCGTTAACTCGTTTAGTTTCTCTAATTAGGATAGTTTATTAACTAACACTTTTACCCAATATATACGTACGAGTTATTTACGTTTCATGAATTTTTCGAAGTTGCTCGACTGGATAAAGTATTTCTACGTTCAGGGACACAGATCGTCTTTATACTGATCTGAAAAGTACCAGTTGTGTGTATGAGTGGACAGTGTGGGAGTACTGTCAGCTGTCTCTGGTGTGTGTTAGGTTGATGGTACACACGATCTTCAGGCCAATGTTGTTATGTTTCGAGGCTCATCCTGAAAGAGACAGAGGCAAAGTTACTATACATGGGGGGAGGGTTGAAGGGAGGTGGGGGGGGGGAACTGATGAGGGGTAAGGGTGCGTGAATTGTCAGACCACACTGGAATATAATTATCTCCCTCACCCCACTTCTCTCTGTCTGTCTGTCTGTCTGTTTGTCTGTCTGTCTAATCTAACAAAAATTAACTACTATCACCAAGAGTAGATGTACTTAACCTACTCACTCAGTTGTATAGAACTGAATATTGTGTAGTTAACTGTGAGGTAATTCAATTAAAACAAACTACCTTCACTGTACCGACTTGTTTCCTCTCTGTCATAAACGAAACACCTCTTGTTGTAGTTGTTGTTGTTGTTGTTGTTGTTGTTGTTTTTGTTGTTGTTGTAGTTGTTGTTGTTGTTGTTGTTGTTGTTGTTGTTGTTGTTGTTGTTGTAGTTGTTGTTGTTGTTGTTGTTGTTGTTGTTGTTGTTGTTGTAGTTGTTGCTGTTGTTGCTGTTGTTGTTGTTTTTGTAGCTGTTGTTGTCGTTGTTGTTGTAGTTGTTGTTGTTGTTGTTGTTATTGTAATTGTTGTTGTTGTTGTAGTTGTAGTTGTTGTTGTTGTTGCTGTAGTAGTTATTGTTGTAGTTGTTGTTGTTGTTGTTTTTGTAGCTGTTGTTGTTGTTGTTGTTGTTGTTGTTGTTGTTGTTGTTGTTGTTGTTGTTGTTGTTGTTGTTGTTGTTGTTGTTGTTGTTGTTGTTGTTGTTGTTGTTGTTGTTGTTGTTGTTGTTGTTGTTGTTGTTGTTGTTGTTGTTGTTGTTGTTGTTGTTGTTGTTGTTGTTGTTGTTGTTGTTGTTGTTATTTATTTATTTATTTATTTGTAGTTATTTATTTGTTGTTGCTGTAGTATTATTATTGTAGTTATTGTTTTGTTATATTGCTATTATTTACGTTATTTATTTGTAATTATTGTTGTAGTTGTTGTTATTGTAATTTTATTTGTTGTTATTTGTTGCAGTTATTTGTTATTTATTTATGTTGTTGTAGTTGTTGTTGTTGTTGTTGTTATTTGTTGTTGTTGTTGTTGTTGTAGTAGTTGTTGTTATTTGTTATTTGTTATTTGTTGTTGTTGTTATTGTTGTTGTAGTTGTTGTTATTTATTTTTATTGTTATTTATTTATTTGTTATTAGTTATTTGCTATTTTTATTGTTGTTTTGTAGCTTTTGTTGTCGTTATTTTTGTAGTTTTGTATTGTTATTTATTATTTATTTGTAGTTATAGTTTTTATTTATTTGCTGTAGTAATTATTATTTGTAGTTATTGTTATTTATTTATTCTGTAGTAGTTATTATTTGTAATTATTTATTTATTTATTTGTAGTTATTTATTTATTTATTGTTATTGTTATTTATTGTGTAATTATTTATTTATTTATTTGTTATTTGCAATTGTTGTATTTATTTATTTATTATTATTGTTGTTGTTGTAATTGTTGTTGTTGTTATTTGTTATTGTAATTATTGTTGTTGTTGCAGTTGTTGTATTTGTTGTTGTTTATTGTTATTTATTTGTTGTAGTATTGTTGTTGTTGTTGTTGTGTTACGTTAGCTCTATATCAGTAGTTCTTAACTTTTACTACCGCCCCTAAGAACTGGTCCTTCCCTCCACGCCCCCCTAGGAACTGGTCCTTCCCTCCCCCCCCCTAGGAACTGGTCCTTCCTCCCGCCCCCTGAACTGGTCTTCCTCCCGCCCCTAAGAACTGGTCCTTCCTCACGCCCCCCAGGAACTGGTCCTTCCTCCGCCCCCCCTAAGAACTGGTCCTTCCCTCCACCCCCCTAAGACTGGTCCTTCCTCCCCCCCCTAGAACTGGTCCTTCCTCCACCCCCAGAACTGGTCCTCCTCCACCCCCCAGGAACTGGTCCTTCCTCCCGCCCCAAGCTCCTCCCCCCCCAGACTGGTCCTTCCTCCACGCCCCCCTGAACTGGTCCTTCCCTCCCTTACCCCCAGGACTGGTCCTTCCTCCCCCCCCATGGTCCCTCACCCCCCACTGGTCCTCCCCCCCCAATGGTCCTTCCTCCCACCCCCAAAGACTGGTCCTTCCTCCACGCCCCCCTAGAACTGGTCCTTCCTCCACGCCCCTAAGACTGGTCTTCCTCCACGCCCCCCTGAACTGGTCTTCCCTCCACCCCCCTAGGAACTGGTCCTTCCTCCACCCCCCCTAGGAACTGGTCCTTCCTCCCCCCCCTAGGAACTGGTCCTTCCTCCACGCCCCCCCCCTGAGATTGGTCCTTCCTCCGCCCCCCCTGAACTGGTCCTTCCCTCCACGCCCCCCCCCCTAGAGACTGGTCCTTCCTCCGCCCCCTAAGAACTGGTCCTTCCTCCACGCCCCCTAAAACTGGTCCTTCCTCCACCCCCTAGAACTGGTCCCCTCCACCCCCCCAGGTGGTCCTTCCCCCCACGGCTGGTCCTTCCTCCACCCCCCCCAAGGTGGTCCTTCCCTCCACGCCCCCAAGACTGGTCCTTCCTCCACGCCCCCCTAAGACTGGTCCTTCCTCCACACCCCCTAAAAGGCTGGTCCTTCCTCCCACGCCCCCCTAGGAACTGGTCCTTCACCCGCCCCCTGAACTGGTCCTTCCCTCCCACGCCCCCCCTAGAACTGGTCCTTCCCTCCCGCCCCCTAGGCTGGTCCTTCCCTCCACGCCCTAGAACTGGTCCTTCCCTCCCGCCACCCCTAGAGACTGGTCCTTCCCTCCACCCCCCCCTAGGGTGGTCCTTCCTCCACGCCCCCCCCAAGACTGGTCCTTCCTCCCCCCCCTGGGTGGTCCTTCCTCCACCCCCCCTAAGGCTGGTCCTTCCTCCCACCCCCCCAAGAACTGGTCCTTCCCTCCCACCCCCCTAAAGCTGGTCCTTCCCTCCACGCCCCCTAGGAACTGGTCCTTCCTCCCCCCCAAAGTGGTCCTTCCTCCCACGCCCCCTAAAGGCTGGTCCTTCCCTCCCACGCCCCCCCTAAGAACTGGTCCTTCCTCCACGCCCCCCTAGGAACTGGTCCTTCCTCCCCCCCCCCCTGAGACTGGTCCTTCCTCCCCCCCCCTAGGGACTGGTCCTTCCCTCCCCCCCTAGGACTGGTCCCCTCCCACGCCCCCCCTAGGAACTGGTCTCCTTCCCACCCCCCTAGGAACTGGTCCTTCCTCCACGCCCCCCCTAGGAACTGGTCCTTCCTCCACGCCCCCCCTAGGAACTGGTCTTCCTCACGCCCCCCCTAGGAACTGGTCCTTCCCTCCACGCCCCCCCTAGAGACTGGTCCTTCCCTCCACCCCCCTAGGAACTGGTCCTTCCTCCACGCCCCCTAGAACTGGTCCTTCCTCCACGCCCCAGAACTGGTCCTTCCTCCCCCCCCTAGGAACTGGTCCTTCCCTCCACGCCCCCTAGAACTGGTCCTTCCCTCCCACCCCCCCGAACTGGTCTTCCTCCACGCCCCCCCTAGAACGTTTCCTCACGCCCCAGACTGGTCCTTCCTCACCCCCCAGGCTGGTCCTTCCTCCCGCCCCCCTAGGAACTGGTCCTTCCTCCCGCCCCCTAGGAACTGGTCCTTCCTCCACGCCCCCCTAGGCAGTCCTTCCCTCCCCCCCCCCTAAAGACTGGTCCTTCCCTCCCACGCCCCCCCCCCTAGGAACTGGTCCTTCCCTCCACGCCCCCCTAGGAACTGGTCCTTCCCTCCCACCCAGGAACTGGTCCTTCACGCCCCCTAGGTGGTCCTTCCTCCACGCCCCCCTAGGAACTGGTCCTTCCTCCACGCCCCCTAGAACTGGTCCCCCCCCCCGCTTCCTTCCACCCCCCTAGAACTGGTCCTTCCTCCACCCCCCGAGAACTGGTCCTTCCTCCGCCCCCCTAGGAACTGGTCCTTCCCTCCCGCCCCCCAAGGCTACTGGTCCTTCCTCCACCCCCCCCCCTAGGGAACTGGTCCTTCCCTCCACCCCCCCTAAGGCTGGTGTCGCCCTCCCCACCCCAGGCTGGTCCTTCCTCACCCCCCTAGGAGCTGGTCGCCACTCCCACACACCCCAAAACTGGTCCTTCCCTCACCCCCCTGAAACTGGTCCTTCCTCCCACGCCCCCCTGAGGCTTCAGTGTCCCCTTCCTCACGCCCCCTCTAAGGCTTTGGTCCTTCCTCCCACGCCCCTAAGGCTTTGGTCGCCCTCACCCCCTAGGCTTTGGTCGCCCTCACCCCCAAGGGGCTTTGGTCGCTTCCTCCCACCCCCTAGGGAACTGGTCCTTCCTCCTGCCCCTAAAGACTGGTCGCTTCCTCCGCCCCCCCCCAAACTGGTCCTTCCCTCCACGCCCCCAAGGGCTTTGGTCCTTCCCTCCACCCCCCCCCTAGGGGACTGGTCCTTCCCTCCACGCCCCCCCTGGGGAACTGGTCCTTCCTCCACGCCCAGGAACTGGTCCTTCCCTCCCGCCCCCCTAAAGGGCTGGTCTTCCCTCACACGCCCCCTTGCATCTATAATAAATTCCTCCCAAGTTTAAGAAAATAATAATGTGTTTTAGTCTTTTGTCAGTATAAGTTAGTGAGATACCCAGCACTGCTTCTTAGCTACTAGATCTTGAATGCGTGGTTGAATGCCGGAAGTGCACAAACGTAAATACACAACATTCAGCCTGTTTCTGTACTTGGCCTTGACAGCAACAGCGTGGAAAATGCAGCTTCACAAAGATACGTGGATCCGAACATGGTTAGAATCCGAAAGAGCCTGATGTGAGATCAGAGGGTAAACAGGAAGGTACTTGTCCCATAACGTCTCAGATCCAGTTCTTTGAGTCTTCCTTGGCTGTGGTTGAACTTCAACTCAAAACTCCTCTTGCGCTTCATCGAAACATCAGCTACTTCACATTAAATAGGTTTCTGATGAATTTCCAGGCTTCACGCTTCTCATCTATCTGGGAAGTATCACAGCGTTAATTCTGTTTTTCGTCAATTAGATGAGTGATTGTTGTTTCTTTAACTCCGTCAAGAA